TTAGGCATGAAAGATGGCTGGGTGACTTTGGGCCAATCACCAGGAGTTTAAGAGTTCTAGTCCTGCCTTAGGCATGAAAGATGGCTGGGTAACTGTGGGCCAATCACCAGGAGTTTAAGAGTTCTAGTCCCGCCTTAGGCATGAAAGATGGCTGGGTGACTTTGGGCCAATCACCAGGAGTTTAAGAGTTCTAGTCCTGCCTTAGGCATGAAAGATGGCTGGGTAACTGTGGGCCAATCACCACGAGATGGTGGGTTCTAGTCCCGCCTTAGGCATGAAAGATGGCTGGGTGACTTTGGGCCAATCACCAGGAGTTTAAGAGTTCTAGTCCTGCCTTAGGCATGAAAGATGGCTGGGTAACTGTGGGCCAATCAGCAAGACACGGTGAGTTCTAATCCCGCCTTAGGCTTGAGAGCCAGCTGGATGATCTTGGATAAATCCAATAAGTAAATAAATATAAATATTAAAAATAAATTAAAATAAAGCAAAAGAGAATAATAAAATAATGTGAAATAAGATACAATACAATACAAAGACGAAGCGGTATTATGTATGTTCACCACCTTGATTAACTTACAAAAGTAATACAGTAAAGGTGGGATAAAAAAAAACCTAGTACAGTGATGGTGAACCTTTTAGAGACCGAGTGCCCAAACTGCAACCCAAAATCCACTTATTTGTCACTGGGTGCCAGATGGGTGTGGCCCACTGGGTGGGCGTGACTGTGGTCATAGCAGACTGGGTGGGTGTGGCCAAGGTGGGCATGATCACCTCGATGTTGCTCATGGAGAGGGACATGTGGGGGCAGGGACATGTGGGGGCAGGGACGGGGGAGATCCAGGGGGTCTCTGGCAGGTGGGGCGGTGGGCAAGAGGCTTGTCCTGTGGGGTGAGGCGAGCCAAGGCGAGGCAGGGGCCGGGCCGACTGCTGCCTGACGCCATTGGCCCCCGCACACAGAGGCCAGCGAGCGCATGGGTGTTGGGATGCATCCAGCCACGTGGACCTCGGCGAGTTAGCGGGCAGCTGGTTGAGGAGGGACGGTTGCCATCTCTCCGGGGCATGGCCCGCGTGCCTACAGAGAGGGCTCTAAGTGCCGCCTCTGGCACGCGTGCCATAGGTTCGCCACCACTGCCCTAGTAAAACATTATTATTATTTTTAAAAAAAGAACTCTCCCCACACTTTTTGTATCTTCCCTAATAAAATCCTTCGCTGTGACCTCCGCTCCGGCAGCTCAACCAGGCAAGGCTGTTCCGAGAAAGACAGCCCTCTTAATGAAAGCTCTAACCCAGGGGGCTGGCTGAGGAATTCTGGGAGTTGAAGTCCACAAGTCTTAAAGTGGCCAAGTTTGAAGACCCCTGTTCTAGCAGTTTTGGCGTGGCTGGCTGAGGAATTCTGGGAGTTGAAGTCCACAAGGCTTAAAGTGGCCAAGTTTGAAGACCCCTGCTCTAACCCGTGCCCCCTACTGTTTTGGCTTCCAAAATGAACCTCCTTCCAGTTGCTTCTTAAAATTCAAGGGCCTTGGAAAAAACCATGTGCTCAGCACTCTGGCTAATAAAGTGCCTTTGAACAATCTTAGCTTAGCAGGGCCCGAGGGCAGATGCTGGGAAGATCCCAGCTTTGCAACTCGCAGGAAGGACCCCAGCCTAGAAAAAACACCACCATGTCAAAAAAAACCTCTCCCCAAACTCACTTCTATACTTGTGATGAGCCAATCGTTGACGGCTTTACTCTGAGCTCCACTGGTTACCATCTGGAAGCCGTTGGCCGTCGCGGTGTGCAGAAGGACTAGGAAGGAAAAAAGAGGGCTTAAAAGAAAGGAACTAAGACAGGTAGCCCTCGACTTACAACCGTTCATTTAGGGACCGTTCAAAGTTACGATGGTACTCGGGGAAAAAAAGTGACTTAGGGCTGTTTTTCACGTTTACGATTGTTGTTGCTGCCTCCCCCGTGGTCACGAGATCAACATTCGGACGCTTGGCAACCGGCACGTGTTTATGACGGTCGCAGCGTCCTGGGGTCACGCGAACCCCTTTTGCGACCTTCTGACAAGCAGAGTCAATGGGGAAGCCAGATTCGCTTAACATCTGTGTCCCAAAGGTGCTTTTTTCAGAAAGCAACAGGACTTTCTTTGTTTATTATTATTATTATTATTATTATTATTATTATTATTATTATTATTATTATTATTATAATAATAATAATAATAATAATAATAATAAAAAGTTGGAAGGGACCTTGGAGGTCATCTAGTCCAACCCCCTGCTCAGGCAGGAAACCCTATACCAGACATGTCAAACACAAGGCACGGGGGCGAGATGCGGCCCGCGAAGTGGTTTCATGTGGCCCAGGAAGCCATCCTGGAAACAGTGAGGGAACGGCCCCCCGCTGCCTTGGCCCTGGCCAGCCGGGAGCCAATGTACAATTTTGTGGTAGCCATCTATGCTGAAACACATTCAGTCTTAGCTCCACAAGGCTGTCTGGAAACAGCGAGGAACCAGCCCCTGCTGCGTCGGTCCCGCTCCCTGGGTGCATGCTGGGGAGGGGTCACCCTTTGTGAGGAATGAAGAAATGGACCATCACCTGGAAGTGGTCCTGGTTCCCCCCCTTCTGCCAGAGACCCTCAGATCTGTCCCACTCCTACCCAGGCCCCCACAGGCACCATTGACGCGAACGATGTAGGGCTGGCCACACCCACCCAGTAGGCCACAGCCACTCCATCCACGCCCACCCAGTAGGCCGCACCCCCCCCTGGCCACACACCCCCCCCAGGGCAACCACAATGCTGATGCGGCCCTCAATGAAATTGAGTTTGACACCCCTGCCCTATACCATTTTAGACAAATGGCTGTCCAGTCTCTTCTTAAAAACTTCCAGTGTTGGAGCACTCCACCGCTTGATTCAAAGGGATGCTTGGGTCATTGGTGTATAATTTGGGGAATAGGATTATTCTGGGTTTAGTTCTAAAACTAAATCGTTAAAAAGGAATTCCTCAGTATGGTAAAGAGTCAAATGGGCAAGCAAGAAATTGCTCTCAGTGATCAGATGAGGAAAAAGGAATCAGAGAATAGAATAGAAGCTGGAAGGGACCTTGGAGGTCTTCTAGTCCAGCCCCCTGCTCAAGCACGAGAACATATACCGTCTCAGACAGGTGAATGTCTAGCCTCTTCTTAAAAGCCTCCAGTGATGGAGTGCCCACGATTTCTGGTGGCAAGCTGTTCCACTGGTTGATTGTCCTCACTGTCAGGAAGTTTCTCCTTAATTCCAGGTTGCTTCTCTCCTTGACCAGTTTCCAACCATTGTTTCTCGTCCTGCCCTCTGGTGCTCTGGTGAACAACCCGACCCCCTCTTCTTTGTGGCAGCCCCTCAGATACTGGAATCTGCTATCGTGTCTCCCCTATTTCTTCTTTTCTTTAGACTGGCTAAAACCAAGTCCCACAGCCATTCTTCATACGTTTTGATCTCCAGGCCTTGGATCATGTTAGTTGCTCTTCTCTGAATTTTTCCAGACTCTCAACATCTTTTTCGTGATATGGTGACCAAAATTGGCTGCAGTATTCCAGGTGTGGCCTTACTAGGGCTTTATAAGGTGGTACTAATATTTCGTGTGACCTTGATTCTATGCCTCTGTTTATAGACGCATTGTTTAAGCGAGTAAGAATTTGTAGCCCTGAGACTTGGCATATGCTGGCTCTATGACCTGAAATAAAGGAGCTGGATTAAACCCAGACTTGGCAAAGGGTGTATTTAGTGATCTATTGGATGTAAATAGTGGGCACAATCCATGCCAGGAAAGATAATCTGGCATCCCGAATCACATATTGTATTTTGCAGCTGCCCTACTGGCCTCCAGCAAAATTTATTTATAATACCGGTAGTCCTCAACTTACGACCACAACTGAGCCCGAAGTGTATATTGCTAAGTGAGAAATGTGTTAAGTGAGTTTTGCCCCATTTTACAACATTTGTTAAACGAATCACTGTAGTTTTTCAATTAGTAACGTGGCTGTTCAGCGAATCTTGGCTTCCACACTGACTTTGCTTGTTGGAAGGACGCAAAAGGGGATCACATGACTCCGGGATCCTGCAACCGTCATAAGTGAGGGTCAGTTTTCAAGCATCCAAAGGTAAATCAGGCGACCATGGGGATGCTACAACGGTCGTAAGTGTGCTACAACGGTCGTTAAGTCACTTTTTTCAACACCGTCNTTCAGCGAATCTTGGCTTCCACACTGACTTTGCTTGTTGGAAGGACGCAAAAGGGGATCACATGACTCCGGGATCCTGCAACCGTCATAAGTGAGGGTCAGTTTTCAAGCATCCAAAGGTAAATCAGGCGACCATGGGGATGCTACAACGGTCGTAAGTGTGCTACAACGGTCGTTAAGTCACTTTTTTCAACACCGTCGTTAACTTTGAATGGTCACTAAAGAATGGTTGTAAACTGAGGGCTGCTTTTATTTGTTCTCATCTGGAACCCTAACTAGCCATTCAGCAGCTTGCAGAGTTCCATGGAAAATTCAGTGCAAAGGCAATAATGGAGCAATTAATTTAGCTAACAACGTCTCCACTCTTTGTCCCCTGCCATGAGGGTTTCTGTGTTCACAGCCATTAAAAGATTAAGCACACTGACCTATCCTGTACATGAGCCCACTGGGTTAGCTTTGAGACGGCACAGGAAAGAGGTCAGAAAGAGGCTACTTTATCAGAATATTTTCAGATTGTCTCCCATACAATAAGTAGACAGACATTCTGCCCCAAAGAAGAGGGAGCTAAGCTATTCTCCAAAGCACCAGAGGGAAGGACAAGAAGCAACGGATGGAAACTAATCAAGGAGAGAAGCAACCTAGAACTAAGGAAAAACTTCCCGACAGTGAGAACAATTAACCAGTGGAACAACCTGCCTCCAGAAGCTGTGAATGCTCCAACATTGGAAGTTTTTAAGAAGAGACTGGACAGCCATTTGTCCGAAATGGTTACCTGCCTGAGCAGGGGGTTGGACTAGATGACCTTCAAGGTCCCTTCCAACTTTACTATTATTATTAATCATTCCTCACAAAGGGTGACCCCTCCCCAGCATGCACCCAGGGGGCGGGGCCGACGCGGCGGGCTGGTTCCTCGCTGTTTCCGGGCGGCCTTGTGGAGCTAAGACTGAATGCGTTTCAGCATAGATGGCCACCACAAAATTGTACATGGGCTCCCGTCCGGCCTGGGCCGGGGCAAAGGCAGCGGGGGCCGTTCCCTCACTGTTTCCAGGATGGCTTCGCGGGCCACATGAAACCACTTTGCAGGCCACATCCGGCCCCCAGGCCTTGTGTTTGACATGTCTGCCATATAGTGTTAAGGAATTGTAACTCATCCTTTTGATAACAGGATTCTGTTGCACAGATTACCTACCATTGATTGCTCCCTGGGCACTTTTATTGTATTATTATTATTATATTATTATATTTAAATTTATATCCCGCCCTTCTCCTCGTGGACTCAGGGCGGCTGACAATCAATTAAAATACATAAATGACAATTACAAATTTAAAATTAATTAAAAAGAAATATTTTAAACATAGTCCAATTAAAATATAATTAAAACCCCTCTAAAAATTACCCTAGGCCAGTCCTGCAAGCTGGAATAACCATGTCTTAAGGGCGCGGCGGAAGGAAGGGAGATCAGGGATCACCCTGATCTCTGGGGGCAGTTCATTCCAGAGGGTGGGAGCTCCCACAGAGAAGGCCCTCCCCCTTGGGGTCGCCAGCCGGCACTGTCTGGCCGACGGCACCCTGAGGTACCTCCACGGGATAGTGTTTATGATTACATTCGTATTCCCCCCTCTCACTAATCGAGTAAATCTGAGCAGCTTAACTATACTTTATCTACATTAGCCACATAATACATTATGTAGTTAATGAACGGGATATGTATGTTGACAGAAAAATAGCGCATTAAATCAGCAAATCGGAAAGATTACTGGTTTTCAAGCGTGGTTACGGGCACCAAGTGCAAGTACGTTTGTTAAATTGCTTTTGTGGACCTTTTGTGAGGAATGAAGAAATGGGCCATGCCTTGGCGCTTGCCCCGGTCCCACCCCCTTCTGCCAGAGACCCTCAGATCTGTCCCACTCCTGCCCAGGCCCCCACAGGCACCCTTGACGGGAACGATGTAGAGCTGGCCACGCCCACCCAGTAGGCCACACCCACTCCCCACGCCCACTCAGGCCGCACCAACCCTGGCCATACACGCCCCCCCGAGGGCAACTGCAATGCTGATGCGACCCTCCATGAAATTGAGTTTGACACCCCTGCTATATGGAAACAGATTAAGAAAATATTTTTTTTCTTCTAAAAAGTATAGAACTGTAGCTACACGCAGCAAAGAGTCGCCCGATTCAGAACTGACATATGCTGACATCAAGAGCTTCTACACACGCATTGCAAATGCTTCAGCTATGAGCTCCTACAGACAGTCCTCGACTTATGACTTACAACTGCGGCAGAGTCCAGAATTATGATCGTAAATCACGCCGGCCGTTAAGCGGCTCCCCTCGTGAGCTTGCCCGATTTCACAAGCTTTTTGCGACGGGCGTTTTCCGCAGTAGGCATTTTTTACCAGAAAATGGAAGCCAATGCCAGTTTGGTGCAAAAAAAACAACAACCCCGTCCTAAATTGGGACACTGCAAATGGATGTGAATTTAGGCTGATTGCCCAGTAAGCCAAATGCAACCAGCTGACCACAGGGGGGAGGTTGGTCGTCGGAACTTAGAATCCGGGTGGTAAGTAGCCCTGGCGAAATCCGTTGTAACTTCAAACGGTCACTAAGCCACCAGTCGTAAGTCGAAGACTATCTATATTCCACGCAAGTCAAAAAGAAGCCTATTCATTTTTTTATTTTTTTTAAAAAAGGACAGAAACGTAGAAAACCTACGGCAGAAAAAGACCTAGTGGTCCGCTCAGTCTGCCCTTCTGAGTTTATCTGATTTTGGTTTTAGTTTCAGTTTTGTTTTTACATTATTTTTATTTTTTTTAATTTTTGTATGAGGACGGTCCTGAGCTGAAAGGCCACCAAGTCAATAGATTTTTTTCCCGGAGAGGTCCATACCGGGAGTGGCCATCTCTGGGAAAGCCCAACCGAACTTCGCAAAATACCGACCTTCGGCAGCCGAAGCCGAGCCTTGCGACGAAGAAGCGGTCTGGGTCTGCTCGTAGATGGAGAGAAGCTCGTCGTCTTCCTTGGCAAAGTAGACGGGGACGATGGTCTCCATGGCCAACATCTCCGGCTCAATCTCCATGAATTGCTTCGGGCGAGAAGGACAGGGAGTCAGTATCGGCA